AATAGTGTGCCGTCTAGATTACATCCTTGCCTTACCAACGCCTAGAAAACATGTTATATAATACCGTAAGTATTCTATTTGTATTCTCATCGCAATAAATATCATGCATGTTCTTGTTACATGGAACGACTTTTACTTGACTGGTTTCAAACAAACGTGTTTCACTTTGTGACATATCGGCGGAAATCAAAGCCAGTGAAATACATTCATAATAAAACAACTTACTATAAAGTTTTCTCTTCATTTTCTTCCATATGCCTAGTTTTTGTTTACTGAACTCCTGTACATTCGTACCAATAATCTGAAATGTACAAAATGGCAAATGTCGATGACTATATTACATTGCTGTGAATGCAATTTGTTAAAACCACTCATTATTGAACAAATGTTAAAAGTATTATTGCCGTCAAATATCAATACTAAAATCAAATTTACAAAGTAATAATAATCCATAGTAATGTAAACATATTCCATATGAAAGACTATGTCTGATAGATTAGTGTATAATGTGGCAAAGGCGTGATTTATTTTAATTTGTGGTTATGCGTGACTGTTTAAGAGCATAAATAAGATGGGCACACATCAAAGAGAGATACACCCATAAAGGCACTTCTGAAAGTCGCGTTTTATTTATAAAATTACGCTTTATTTTTTATAACACGTGTTTATACTGACTACAACAATTGTCCACATTCACATGCGTATATTACCTGTTCTGTGCTAGGTTGCATTTCATTGCTACTGCCTTCATCGTCATCGGTGGAGTCATCATTGTCTAAAAGGAAAATAAAGTTACTACAGATTACACCAACATATGAAGGGGTTTCTCCTGTCGAACTTTCTGCAGTTATGGACACGGTCACCACAGAAACAGCAATTTTGGAAGTAATTATAAATACAAAACAAGTTTAAGACGGATTTTCACGAAGTTTACAGGTGAATTTGCCATCAAAGCAATGATGTGATGTGAAACCGGTTACCATGGAAACTAATTGTGTAATTATTTTTCATTTGGGACATTTGTCGGTGGTGTATCAATTATTAAAAAGTTCTTTGAGATCTGGATCTCGTTGTTATGTAAACAACAAAGTTTTTAACTCAATCCTTGACGAATCACTAACAACAGTTATACAAAAACCGTTCGGGTTGTCCTTTAAATATAAACCATACGATAATATTTTATGAGAAACCTGAATCCAAATTTTAAACGATTTCTCATTATTGCCAGATAAGTTTTTTCTTTCTTTTTTAAGTGAAAAATAATATGATTATGATAGTAAAAATATGTAATTTACATCTAATGTAAGTTCAACAACTACTCACTGACTTTTACAGCATATTTTTAAACACAAAACACAATTGAGTTCTTACCATGCGCGTAACTCGGTATTTTTCTCTTCTTGGTTTTTAGTTTCCTGAGATAGGATTGTTTTTGTTTAGTACCTTCCTTGTCACTTTCACTAGTAAACTGGAAAACAAAAATATTGAAATATCGTAACATGAAATAGACAACACATGCTCTCTGGTAATAATGCATAATTTATTTCTTCAAAAACATTTAGTCATTCACCATAGATTCACATATATTGTCAACAAATACAACACAAATAAAATGTGTATAGTCCAAAGTGTTTACAATAGCATAGCAGGGATTGCCTGTTCTTGCATGAGAGGGAACAGCTGCACAAACCACTTGACCGCGGAAAAATTACAGCATATAAAATGTGCTTTTTTTTAATCTGACATCATCATAGCCTTGGGATATTATTTTTTAGTGAAGGATGGTGCACTTCCTAATTGTAAATTAGACATATCCTTATACCATAGTTTTCCTAACCATAGCACTGCTCTATTCACTATGTCGAATGTAGTGATCAGAATTACGGAAAAGAATGTGATATTCACTGAACCTGTTTTGTCGTCGACGCTAATTGTTTTGCGTGAGCCAGAAGCCCTTCTGTTCCCGTCACAGCGCTTTTAAGTTTTCCATGCCTTTCAGCTGCAGACTGACGGGCAAATCAAATAAAAAAAAAACATTAGAAAATTAAAAATCGAACATAAAAAATGTATATTCTATAAAACGTATCTGGACTTCTAGACGCTATTGGCTATTGACATAAGTCTAGCTTACATGGTTGAACTATACTAGATTCTATAATTTAAAACGTCGCGGTGCGGTAACCTGAGTGATAGTCAATAAAGTGAAAACAATGTGTAATTTGCTGCATAATGTTATAATTTGTTTACACGTCAAATAACCGCATATGCCTATACAGACCTAGAATAACTGGTAATAATTGGTAATATATCTAATACTAATTCATCAAATACTAATATTTGAAGTCAAATATTACTTTCCAGACGTGAGCGTTCTTGGTTTGTATTTGTTAAAGTACGATTGCAGATTAAGCCAGAGCATTTAAACAGTGAAATTCGAAACAGAAAAAATAAAATTCAGCAATTCGTACTAGAAACTGTACGTCAGGACAGTGTTATAATTATGACAAATATATAGTTTCCCGGTCTCGTGTGACGTCTTCTTGAACTTGTGACTTCCTGTGTAGCTGCAGATACAGACACTAAAAAGTGGGGGTCACTCGTCCGTTATGATGGCACACTTAGAATACCAGGGGAATATATATTTATTAACCTCTCACATTATACAAAGGTCAATATGAGGTCATGTGATTGTGTATTTAATCGTTTTCATGAATACTGAAAAGCTAAAGTTACTACTACCTTGTAATAAAATAGTGTGCAATGATTCCTACCTGGTAAGGGCTTGTTGACGTTCCTGCAGCAGTTTTGACATCAGGCTGCTTTCCTCTTGAATTTTCTAATTCAAAATCAAATTCATAATACTGAAGAGTTGTTAAATGAAGACTAAATATGGTATTTGACTGTACACGGAGTTGATAGTATACTCTTACTACAGTATCAACAAAAGTTTTGCTCATATCAGTTTAATACAATACTAACATATGTAGATAGTTCACGTAATTGAATGTAGAATACCATTCATACTTGGAGGGTGTATTCTACAGTCATCGTATCAAAGACCAGTATAGCCTGTCATACTCGCCAACGCAGGCACAGGGTCAAATAAAGTACAAGACAAAGAAAGGGCAATTTGCCAAAAAAAAAACGAACATTGTAAATCAGGCAAGCTTAACATTCTACGGTCGATGACCTGGTCTTTAAATAAAGGCAGTACTGAATAAGCCAATGTCAAGAAAATCGAATTCTCAATATAGCAGTCAACGTGTCGTCAAGTGTAATACCTCGCTGATCACGATCGCTAAGTAACGGCTCCCTTTCTGACGGACTAGCCTCGGCCTTGGCGTCATCTTCGCACACTTTACAACATACACAGTTACCCATAACTATGGTAGACCTGGAAGTGTATTGGTTAAATGCTTGTTCTTCTTGTTGACGATTTCACACAGGTCGGCACATCAGGAGTGTCGACTTTACCGACGACATATAGTATCTTCACAAATACGTTATATATCGTAGTGTAACATAACAACAAAATAGTATTTGTACATGGAATATTGTGAGGTTGTGAGTGTCGATCTGTCCAGACAGTACGAACTCAGCATAACCAGTCTATATAGAGGGCGGTGTAACCTATTGACTCACTGACCCATTTCCTTATTATGTATACCAATAGTTTAAATGTGTGTACGATAAGTATTACCATTGGTAGGTTAAAGTTCATATGATACAACACTATATATATATATATATATATATATATATATATATATATATATATATATATATATATATATATATATATATATATATATATATATATATACAGTATATATATACAAGTTCACGCGACAGCATTATAACGTCCTACAGCACGACCGGGTTGAGTCCCAACATGGCTCTGAGCGTGTGTACTCATCGGGCCCCACTTTTGGAGCCGGGATCACACCCCAATCGTCTTTCATTTCAATTATGGCGGGGGCAACATTGTTTGTAATTGCACGCAATTTCTGACTTGACGAAGTTGTACGCGTCCTAATATATAGTCAGCGTAATGAAATTATGCAACAAAAACATAAAAGGACGACTGAACAGATCCAATAGAAATTAAAGAAAATTTTCAGAGACGCCGAAGATAAAAATTGTATAAACGGTTACGGCACGGCCACGTGCACCTACTAGGTGTAGGTTGGCAACTGTTACACATATCAGTTGAACAATTACAAGATGGTAATTTTGCATGACAATAACGTAAGCGAATAGGCTGTAGCACATTTACTTAACGTATTTTAACTGTGTATCCTGATTATTTTTTCATACTAACATTATTTATTTAACTGATGACACGTATATTCTTAACTTTCCATTGTAATGGCTGCGTCATCTGCAAATCAAGTCTCTCGTCATCTATGTCTCACCATCTATGATCCCAGGATTATTAGAGAGGCGTTTTTAAAGACTTCGCTGCTGTGAATATTGTTGGGGACACGACGTTATTTTGTCCTTTGGTGTATGTTCTTGCAGTAGGTTTAGCCAATAGCCCTTGAGGTAACAGTGCAACAACATTTGACACTGTGCTGACGTGTACACGTACGAACGCCATAGAATTTCCCATGTGATTTGAGATAATGCTAACTATTATGCATGTTAATTCAAACATTATTTGATATATTGTATAATATTATAACTATATCTATATATATATTATCCATAAATAGTTCTATAATGCGTGATGGTGTCGTATAGACCATATGCTACCATGTGCTGTGCACATTTATAAGTTACTATGAGCAAAATTTTACCCGACACCCACATTATGTAAACAGGTATTTATTAGACGAACACAAATTGCACAGAATCAGCGACTACAACGTATTGGGTCAATGGGGATGTCAGGCGCTGTCACGCTTTTCAAAAACATTTATTTTGCTATAAGGATAACACAAACTCTATTTTTGAGAATTCACCTAAATATTAACATCAGACTGACAAAATCACCCAAAACTGCAAATCAAATAATTTAAAGAATATACAATTCTATTAATAGATTATAAACACAAATGTTCTGACAAACACTACAGCGTTACTACTGTCGAATCGCGAATGGCGTTTCAGAAACAACTATCATGCTACATTTATTAAAAATTGCCGCAACAATACGCATACATGACTACTCTCTGGCCAATATCCGGGTATTTAAAGCGCCTGAAAACCATCACGTTTAAAACAAAGACTGAAAACTTCGAGTAAACTGTACCCTGAGATAGGATAAATTAACAGTGCATAAACACAATTATTCTTACATGTACACCATATATAAATTTGTTTGCTCAGTATTACTGCAAAGTTGAGTTTGTGCTGTTTTCTTGAGTTGACTCGTCGTAGAACGCAGCATCTCCAAGGTTGAATATTGATCACCATACAACAGAGACGGAAATGACGTAATTGTGCAAATATTATGCAGTTCTTATTCTTCATATTTTCACATTGTTATGGTGTCATCACTAATTACAGGAAAATATGTCTTTTAACCAGATGTTTTTACATAATGTATGCAAATTTATTCTGAATGTTCCCTTAAATGCGTTGGTATGAACACAATGAAAACAGACACTCCAACCAAAATAGCAAAAAACAAAACAAAACTATTAAATCGCCTAGAACCAAGGAAAACAACGTGCATTGTTTGTGGCAGACAACCAGAAAATATAGAAAACCGGAGGAGACTGTTTCGCGAGCAGAGACGATCGATCTAACATCTTGTCAGTTCGTATGCGTGCAGAAAATGTGGACTGAGAGCGTTCTCTAAGAGAATGGCAACTGAAAGCGGGGGATACCTGGTTTCATCGAAACGAGTTCTTTTTGACAAGTCGAATGTCAACACGACACGCTGACGAACACATCTCTCCCCTCTGGTATTCTTTGAAAGAAATATCATGGTAGTCTTAACGTTCAGCATTTTTACAATGCTTTCGTTAAAAACTCCCGCGGAAAGTGTCGCGATCGCGCATAGTACAGTCAAAACAAACTTCGCGTAAGTCGTGGGCGATCCTAGTAGCCAGCCATCCCTGATCCTTTTCACGATCGGCCACGATAAAATGACGACATCTGCGCGACTATCATTTGCATATGAAAGTACCCGGATCTGGTAAGAAATCTTACCAGTGAATTACAGAACAGGACAGTCGGTCGTGCCTAACAGCACTCCATACTTCCTGTTCCGGTGCTCGCAATTTATTCACTCAAATTACTTTTATACACTGTGACAATATAACAGATTAAGATTAGGTACGACCGACTGTCGACTGTCTAGGGGTGAAAGTATAGCGATCCCTGATAACCCTGATGACGATGAAATATCAGAAAAAAACAGTACAGGTAAATTTATAATATTTGTAACTATTTTTTCGAAGAGTACATGGTCTCTACAATAAATGTCACGAATAGATCGAACATATCTAGACCATTATAAGTACTCATTAACCAGCTTTGACACAGAACTCTAAAGATTGCACAAAATTACATGAACCACTTGAGATTTCTAGTTATTGTGATGACCGAATGTTCAACCAATCGAACAAACAATAAAAAAACAAACCTAACAATAAAAAATCAATTAACAAATCAATCAACTGACATCAGCGGTTGTGATTGTATTCTGTGCGTTAATTCTATACGTTAAATTTACGGGTACTGTCTTAAAAACACAGGAAAGGTTATCAGCTGCTATGTTTTGCCAAACAGCATTTATACTTTGTGATGAACAGCATAAATTCTGAATTACTGTATTAGTAATTGTAATTTTATTGTTTTATTTAACAATAGTCTAATCCTAATATATACAGGTATCGTAGGCTTTATTTACGTGATATAAATCAGAAAGATCTGATCTAAATATTCATTACCATGCCATGAACAGACTGCGATGTTGTACACCGTGACGGTGGTGTAGTTGTTTTCATCTGAAATAAATGTGAATTTGAGGTGACAGTTATTGCTGCGCCTCAGTGAATATTTGTCATGGAACAAATCTTTATAAATTTCTCAATTGCAGTTAATATAGTGTTTTGAATTCGAGTTGTTTCGGCAAATGTACCAGGAAATAGCGCTCCATGTTTTGTCATCCTAAATTTATATGTTTCTTCTACTCATGTTTTCACTGTGTTCAATCCAAGTTCGATCATTGTTACGTTTAATCTGTTGTTTGTGTTCAATCATACGCATCTTACAGGAGGTTAGGATTGGTTCAAAGTAACAGTTTTTAATATAAGAAGGCTTCGAATATTGATATTCGTAGCATTCTACCGTTTGACTGCAAAAGTTACTCAACTGACGTATCGACGAGACGAAAAATGTAAATGAAAGCATTCGCGTTCTATATCGTTAGAACATGTGCCAAAGGTGACAAGCAGAAGGTGTCGTTGTTACAGTGGGCTGGCATGGATGTTGCTACTCTCGTGTACAGTTAGTTGTACGGTGAATCTAAAAATGTATCTATAGCGCCCTCTTTCACAATTTATTAAAGTCTGCCCGGGGTCCGTCAGTGTGCCCCGAAATCTAGGTCAATAGTAGATTTAAATGTATTTTCTATGGGTGCAGACATTAACACTGTGTTTGATTCTATGTATTTTATGGATTAACATAACTAAGTTCGTGTAGACGACGAAATTGTCACTATTATTCTGAGTAACGGAATAAGGGTAGCGTCATTAATATTTGGTGTATACGACTTATTCAAGACTGCCTGAACAACAAGGCTATGCAGGTAATTACGAGAAAGTATAACGAACATTGAATGCGTATTTCATACATCAACTGTATATGACAGTCAACAAGTAGAGGGTAAGACTATACGTCAGTTCCTTCCAAGAATACAACATGTATTCACAGATAATGTTGAACAAATCAGAAATCAAGTGTTAGATACTTAGATACATTTTGCGCCATAAATTTATGGGAAGGAAAGCCCTGAAAGTTGTACCAGCGTGGGCATTCGAAGTAGTTGTAGTTCAATGCAAAACAATGGAATTTAAACAGGAAGGTAACTGAGTCTATAGAGATCGAAGGTCACAAAAGTAACCTGTCCAGTGCAAAGCAGAGAGAAAAGAATGTTATCGTTGTGGTGAAGAATGAAATTATTGCATAGATGGGAATGCCCAGCAAGATATGCTTCCTGACATCTAACAGGACATTATGTAAGCCAAAGAAAAATGTCAAAAGTAACGAATAGAATTTGGTACACCGGGAAAATCAGACAAAGAGAAATTGGTGACAATGGTGTGATTAGTGTCACAGTAGGTGGAGTAGTTATTTCAGACATTGCTCATCGATTCCATAGCAATATCAGGGGGTAATCTCTTCTACTCTCGGATTCTCCACACGTGTCAGGGGGGAATATCGTCTCGTCTCTATATCTCGTCCCCTTGAGGTACGGGATCAGGTAAGTCACTTAAACTTTACAGTCAAATAAGACACGCACAACGAAATACGTTTCATCTCTCGTCTTAGTCGGTCATTCGAGCACTCTATAAGACACAGCGCCCTGGGGAAAAATCCCCAAGACTATCGAAAGGCTGAACCAAGACTAGCCCAAGACTGCGTCAACACTCGCAAGACTCTCCAGGACTGGACTAAGACTGTGT